TCCAAAGCTCCAAGGGCATTCCGGTTTACATTGGCTGTGATCTCGCTGCAAAGACAGCAATAATAAGGATACTTTAATTTCCTTGTAAAAGAAACACATATGAAATGGGAAGCGTTACTACAGATTACATCCGAATTCTATTGTGTAGCATGAAAATAGGAGATTGAGCGCATGTAGGGATTTTGTTAGTTTGTGGAGGCTTATATACGGGAAGGGAAGGAGGTGGGTGGGACCGGTGTTTCTGCCATGTGGCGATTTAGGAGCGTTTGTATGATGACACGTGGTAGCTTAGGAGTGTTTATAGGATGTTTTATGGACTTTTAATATATAATAGATAGATAGATATTTATCCACCTGCCATTGGTTATGATGCATACCGGTTCGTTCTTTTTTTTGCCCGTCCCTTCCCCTGCCGCTGCCTGTCCTCCCCACCACCCGTCCTCCTCCTCGCCAAACCGCCGCCACCGCTTCTCCTCGCCGAGCCACCTCCCCGCCGCCGCCGCCGCCGAGGCCAATGGCGACGGCGAAGGCGTGTCGATGGCCATGGCCATCTCCATCTCTCCCTTTTCTTTTTTTTTAAACATGTGTATGACATGTGGGGCCCGCTTGTTAGCGGGACTAGTTATTTCAAAAGCCACAACAGTTGAACCAAGCGAGCTTTTTTAAAAGCCACAGCCCATAGCTACTTTTCCAAAAGCCACAACTCAACAAAACACACCCTTAAACTTGTTTGTAGGGAAACTCTGTTGCGGTGAAAAAAACATTTATGCCTATTCTCTTTGTTCCAAATGTTGTGATCTCCCATTCATTTCTTCTTCTTCTTTTTTTTGTGTTCTTGTGGCACGATCCTAATCTAGCTACTATTGCTTTTGGTTGGGAGGGGAGGGGCTCTATGAATATGTTGCGAGTGATCAAGCTGCCTCACCATCGTCTGCGCTCACCGGCTCATTGCCAGGAAACCTACCTGCAGCCGTTCTCTCGTCTCATCGTGCTCCTCTAGATTGCAGCAGTTTGAAATGCCAACAGTGGCTGTGGCTGTCAACAAGACCGAGGTGGTGCTAGAGCTCTGTCAACAAGACTAATGGTGATGATCCTCCCACCCCCATCCGTCAGGATCTGATGCCTCATGTCGCCGCCTTTCTTGTTATCCTCCATTGGAGGTTGGCGATGCGGTTGGGAGAGAATCCACACAGCGGTCGTCGTCGACTCTAGCTCCACACCGCAGTCGTCTATGGCTTTTGCAGCGGATCTAGGTAAAGTCCTTTGCATCAGCAACTCGCCGCAAGGGAGCCCTCCTGCTACCCCCCGGCTCTCTCATCTCCAGCCATCAGCGGCGTTTTTTTCCTTATTCAAGATGAATTTGTGTTCGACAAATGTATAATGGGAGACGTGTGTAATTTTTTATTCATATAGTTAAAACATTCACGACCATCATTGTCACTGGCAAAACAGGAAAAATATGCGGGAATGTGTATTATGGAACGTTATGGGATACCATGGTAATTTTTTTTTCAATCGATGAATATTTTTTTTACTCTAATCATCGAGGTATACCATGAGAAGCCACCATTCTTCTTCAATTCATTGAGATGAAGACGCAGGAGAACATAACATTAGTAAATCTTTTACTCTATGAATACAAACATCAATCATTTTTATATACCTTTTGTTCTATCATGTTTGAAGATCAAACGATGTATCAAAGCGAGGATTAATCAATGAGTAAATAGTTTACTCTATCACATGAGAACCATTTTTTTATATCGATTAGTAAAACCTTTACTCAAGTACATCAATACGAAGATTAAACGATGAGTAAATATTTTACTCTATAGCATGAGAACCATTTTTTCATATTAATGACTATAATAGATCTTTTACTCAAGAGGAACAGAGATAAGAAATGAAGCAAGATAAGGGGAGAGGGAGCGAGAAAAATGGAGGCGGTGAAGAGGTGGAATGGGAAAAAAAAAGGAAAAGGAACGTGGGGTTGGAAAAAAGGGAAAAAACGGAAGTGTGTGAGATGGGGGAGTGCTACGTGAGGTGCTCGGAGAAATAATCCAAACGCTCCAGGTGTATTAGGTTTACTGGTAACTCGATGTAATAATTTTACCTATTTGGTTATTCACCGAAGTAAAAAAACCGAACTACACCGAATTAACCAAAATGGTTAAATTAATTTCTTGGTTAGTAGGTTTTGCTCATTAGGTTCAGTCGGATCTTTCTCACCTCTACGTATTATTAGGTGAAATCTATTATGTAATTTGACAAAGTGATATTCATGGCCATGGGTCACAAATCTTATATGCATCTGGACCTCCCAAAGTGCCAACCACAGCCCTTGAAGGACTCCTCACTATGTGAACCCCATGTATATGTAGCGTGCCTCTCGCGCGTAGCGGATAAGAATAATATAGACTATGGTAACTGTCCATGTATTCTCGGTTTTCGGCCACAAGAAACCCTCAACCAATGTGGTCATGAAAATATATAAAGAGATAAGGGTTGCGAGGCATTAGGAATGTGAAAATTGCTTTGTATCTCAAAGCATGTTCGATATGCGCTTGCTTAGATGAGGAACTAAGAATCTTTCCTCACATCGGTAAATATCTTCTGCGAGGAGGATGACGGGCAAGGTAAAAAATATTGGCGAAAAATACGGTTTTGTTGATTGGCACAACAAGAATGGCCATGACTACAAAATCTTGTATGGAGTGGAGACTATGTGCTCCTACTAGAATCCTGGATCTTTTGAACCATGAATGTAATCCTGGTTTCCATCATTAATAAAGCTCTCTCTTTACTGTCAAAAAAAAAGAATGTGAATTTGTCTGAGAAAACTCAAAAAATATGGTACTACGAGAAACTATGTAGAAAATCAATTTTGTCCTCATATTTTTCTTCGTTCTCTCGGTCTTCCTACGGAACCGAGTTTGCCACCGCCGCAGCGTGCATTCATGCCGCCACTCCTAGTTCGCACTCCCCTTGCTGCACGTGAGTGCACATTCGCGCATCCCGCTGCAAGGTCACTACCACCACACCATCCTCACCGTTGCACCGCCCCGCCGTGAGGTTGCCACCGCCGCTCTGGTCCTCACGTGTGCATCCCTTGTTGCGCTTCAGTCCGCATGCCGCTCACACGCACCGTAACACAAGTCGCATCCACTGCCCCGCCGCCCCACTGTGCAGTCCTCACCACCACACCGCTAGCCGCCTCACTGCAAGGTCACCGCCGATGCACCGTGCTGTTGCACCGCCACATCACGTAGTCTTGCCGCCGCTCCCGCCGTGTACCCCTGATGCGCATGAGAGGAATGGAAGGAGGAAGAAGATAAGGGCAACAAAGTCATTTAGTTAAATTTTCTCTCCAGCTCTAATAAAACTAATACGGTCTTAGTGTCCTGCAGCAAATTACGATATTTTTAAAGTGTCCTCGGGCAAATTTACATATTTACGATGCTTACGACCATACTTTTAAATTGTCCCGTACCAACTTTTTTTAAAAAAAAAAGAATATTTGTAGCCGGTTCATGTTGAGGGGATCATGTTGATAGAACAACAAATGAATGGTGTCCATGTGCCATCCTCTTGGACCCCCATTGGTTGCCTTAATTTATGGGCCACAAACCCGTAAAATCTTAATCCCATTCCAAGAGAATAAACAGAATCAAAGTAAATACCAATTCTACTGTTTGCACAGCAGCAAACTAATCTATTTGTACTGCATATGTGTATGTCATATCTCTTCAACCAAATGACATGACAATTAATGCAATTGCTAAATTCATATACTAGTAGAAAACAAAATACTGTGACTTTGTTGAACCATCCAGCAGATAAACTTGCTGAAGTATAGTAAGTCTTGTGACTTAATAGTATGGCCGAATTAAGATTTGTTCAACAATCTCAGTAGTACTGTATTAGTGTAATAGGAGAGCAACTAAGCGAAGTGACTTCCCAAGACATGTGTGACTTTACTATCTTTTTCTTCACAGTAGGTGAAAATATTGTACCTTGTACTTACAATATAACAAAGTGATTGATATTCTCATGTGGTCGCATAGGATTCAACTGCACCTGCCTACCATATATGTAGCTCACCTCTGCTACTAGCTGAAAGCATCATGTAGAGAACAACCATGCACAGTGAGCTGGTGACTAACGACATATTCTCACAAACATCGCCTCAGCCGATTTTGCATGAACAAGAATCTATATTTTTTTTAAAAAAAAAACTAATGCTGAGGGTTGGGACGCGTCTGGAATGCTAGAGTTACTAAGATTCGACCTTGAATATTGTGTTGCAACCTTCTTTCTCGTCTGTTGAATGAAGGTAGAATGCCCACTTTTGCTCTTTTTGCCACTACAGATCTAGAAACTCCTCACCAAATAATGTCCTGCTGCTCGGTTAGATATATGCTAAGACTTTGAGCTAGGGTAGCTACATGGTTAATATCCCAGTGTACATGCCTAAGAGATGTATGCTAAAACAGGCATTTGCACTCTGTTGAAGTGTATAATGCTTGGTGTGCAGTCTTGTGCTGTGTTGTCCATCATGGGCATGTGGTCGAGCATTATTCTGAGCTTGGCTAACCTCAAGTTTGGAACCAACAGAAAAAATGCAATGATTTTAATACAATTCGATGTGCCTGTTGTTCAAATTATAAAAACAACCTGCAATTTATGGAACTCAACTTATTTTGGATGCATTTTTCTATAGGTTAAGAGACTTGGTGTCGACCCTCTTCTTCTAGCACGTAAAGTTTTTTTTTTCATCGAAAGCAATAGGAGCCCTGCCAAAATTTTAGTACTTTATTTTAAAAGAGAGAGTTGTGTAGATATTAAGAGCTAGGAACTGGAATATTACAATGTACTGTTCATCAAGCTCGCCACAAATAAACGAATAATTTTCATTCATCCTATGCATATGATCGAGTTGTTGTGTTTAATTACCACCAAGAGGGAGTCTCCTTTCAAAAAGTTGATAAATGCAACGGTTCACAAAACGGATTTCTCTAGGGGGTTTTGCCATGTACAGATAAATTAATATTTATCTACAAAGCTGATAAATTCAATGATTCAAAGAAGTGTCAATGATTTTAAAAAACTCACATTAACGCTATCATGTTCTATCCAGATTTGTAGACGAAATAATTTCAATCATAAACATGTAAGGACACTTCCAAAACTCTACATCACCTTGCTGTGTCACGTAATTAAAGAGGAGAAAGAAAGGAGAAAACAATGTTTTACACCAGACTTTTTCGTAGCACAGAAACAAAAAGAGAAACGACTACCATTTTAAACCCACTAATAGACACACAATATACAATATGCGTTGTGTTGTTTCTGTTGCAACGTCACAGGTACAACACAGCCACGTCCTGTGCATGCTCCTCAATCCTGACATCCCCACTTTAGCAATTGGAAATTTCTTTGTTATTTTCATCTTTCTTCCATACCACAAGCATGTGCACTGTTAGAATTAAATCGGCTAGTTTCAATTTAATTCTAGTAAATCCCATGGGCCCACAATTGACGTTAAGAGATTAATACCACCTTAGAATCCAATGCGAAAGTACCTCAACTTAAATAGGTTGTTAATTGAGATCACTTGTTGAACGGTTGAGGGGGTGATGGGACTGCCACACGCGCACCAAGTCAGGTCGGCCAGTCGGGTCTGGGGTGTACGAGACAATGGCTGCTCTCCTTCCGGACGTTTTTTTTTTATGAGTAATGTAACTGACAGAGACTCCTTACCACTGAAACGGACAGAGCAATCAATCGGGTTTAATCTCTCCCAAAACATATCTCTCTCATTATCCTCCACCTCCATGATAGACAGAGAGATTCTCTCTTCCTGACACTTTGCTTCGGCTCTCCCCGGTCCTGATCACTTGCGCGCACAAGTGTTCGCGACGAGCAGACCTCCAGAACTCCATCCACCTAAGTACATGCACTGATAGGTAGGCAATCAAGTTTTTGCGGAGCGTGAAGAACACGCGACTACTCTCAGCACTGCTTCCTCTGTATCACGTTCTTCTTGCTCTACATCAACAACTCGGATCATATCGATCACCAATGGAGGAGAAGACGGCAACAACAAAGGTGGTGACATCACCAACACCTTCGCCTTTGGATCCAAAGCGTTCTTCAAGTATGTCACTCTATTCACATTAGTGTTAAACATGTTACTACATAATCGATGATGCTATTTATGTTATTAGTATGTTTAGCATTATTACTAGATCATCCTTTTATACACATGTCACGTTTATATCTTAATTTTTGGATTAAAATATACCGAATTATGACCATGTTTTCAACATGTACTAGGTTGAGGAAATTGAGCTCCATCTCAAGCATTTGATGCTGCTGTTTACACCCAAATTTAGCACATAGGATCAAATTAAAGAAGAATTGCAAAGATTTGGGAGAATCACCGGGTTTCCTCCACAGGGCCGGTCTGACCGTCGTTTGATGGTGGTCAGACCATTGCTTGAGGGCTGGTCTGACCGGCGGCATGTGGCCAGTCGGACTTGCAGAGTCCGAGACCAAGTATGTTTTCATCGGGTCTTGGGTTTCCTTACTCGCGAGGCTATGTTTCGGGTTTCCTTTGGTTTCTATCCCGAGTTGGATGTGGAGGAGGACCCGTAGGAGATAAGACCAACCCCAATATAAGGGATAAGGCCGGTTCAACTGGAGGAGAATCTACACACAATCCAATTTAGCCAATTGAATCGTTTTTTTCAATATTTCAATCTACTTCTAGTCTAGTTCGTCCATCTTTATCAATTTGCGCCGTAAATCGGCCGCCTTCGCTACGAGAGTGTGAAATCCTTTGTAGGTTTGTCCCGTAAACCTTTCGTTTGCCCACGAGATGGGTAGTTATCTATTGTTTTATCTAAATTAGCTCCGCTAGCCGGTTTAATCTATCAAAACCCATCTTGGTCCAGCTTTTGCTAGATTGGGGTGGTTGGCGACTCTACAATCACCGCAAGGCGTTTAGGTATCCCGATCATGCTTGTCTACTTGTCAAAAAAGTTGCCAACAGCTGCCGCCGGTGGCAGAGCTCCAGTGCAAGCACTACGCTGCTTGAGCTGTTCCCGGATGGGTGGTTCCTCAAGCCTGACAGGGAAGAGAGAAAGAGAGAGGAGAGAGGGAGCTACAGGTTGAAGAATAATATAGGCCCAAATTAACTGAAACAATGTGTAAAGATTAGGTGCAAAGTGAAAGATTGATTTGCCCCTTGTTCAACTTACAACAATGGTAAAACAGGTGACCCATTATGCGATTTACTATTAAATTTATCTTAAATATAGCTACATAAGGGATGTCAACCGTAAATTCTGGCATAAAACATCCCACGTTACTTCCGGTAGTCCATATAGCCCCAACCAGAGTGGGTCCCGCACCCCACCATAATGCGGCCATCTTTTACCTCCTAACCCAATAGGACGGAGGAACTATTAATTAAGATGGGCATCGCTATAAACACAACATGTCTATTATAAACTAACTAGTTGGGTGCCCGTGCGTTGCAACGGGAAATGCCATATATCAATTTCAAATTATGTCCAAGTGAAAAGCTGTTAAATAATCATTGAGTGAAAATCTATCGAGCACAGAAAAAAAAAATCTTGCAAACTAGAGAGACTACAAATCAAAATTGCTCAGTAGACTAATTCCAGTGCGAGAAACTTATTACCACTACAGAATCAGAGTGGCTTTCTGGCGCATTAAACAATATCATGATGTTTATGATATTATAAAAAGGCAGCATAGACAGAAGACCGCTACGAAAATTTGATGGTGACATACAAATTAAAGCAAAAAAAATCTAGAACATTAAGCATATACAGATATGATATTTGTCATGGATGAGCACATTAAAAATCACTCTGCTATAGATATTCTTAGAAGATAGAGAGTTATTCTATTAATTTGTTGAGAGAGTTATTCTATTAATTTTTTGCGAGCATAAACAAAGAAAAAAATAAAAAATTTGATACAATATAGGATATACCATGTAGGTAATAATTACCCTAATGTTGTACATTTGCGATACACTTAAGAAAATTTCGTGCGCCGCTAAAAATTATTCAGATAAATGTCAAATTTCCATCAAGAAATTTCTGCCACGAGTTCACGTGTAATGAACCTGCTAATCTCTATTGGCGTCTCCAGTTCGTGCCAATGTATGGAGCAAACTTCAGTAAAGAAACTATCGACAAAAAGCTTGAGCGTCTAGCAAAATTTGCACTCAGGTGGTCTTCCCTTAGATTCTCAAACTTTCATGTAATCCCCTCCAGCGATTTCTCTCTGACTGAAAACCATATGAACATAATTAGGCTTGCCATATAATCCACGATGCAAGTTTTCATCAACATGATATACTAATGTTAGGAATTTGTCGTATATTTGGACACGATATCTTATAGTTCCAAAGGATCTTTAACTGCTTTTTGAGGACCAGAGAGTCTTTTGTTAGCATTGATTCTATCTGTATTTGAGTGCATGTCTTTAAATCACATAGCAGAAACACTTTTAAGGAAATCTGTCTCCACTATAGCATTATCACCACCAAGTGCAGCGAAATGATTCAACTCATCTTGACAGACAGTAGCAACAGCCAGATAGGATGCATAGGAGTGGGCAGTGATGGTGGAGACCTGAATAATTTGGCAAAACCTGAATGTAATTACTAAAAATCGGCCCCAAAAATCCAAAATTGGCAAAACAATACTTACCACTGGAAATCCCTGCTGGCAGCCGCTGGAGTTTTTACAATCATATATCTTATATAACTGCTAAAAATTTTCACATATAATGCTAAGTTGCTAATTAAACTCAAGCTCTAAATGCATTTTCACATATAATGCTAAATTGCTAACTAAAATCAAGCTCTAAATTCATTTCTATGCTTTCTGATAGAAACTTGCAGATTAGCGTGCAACTTATCTTGATGCCTATTTTCGGTTCAATTAAGAACGAGAAGGAATGCGCTCACCACAAGAAACGAGCACTGACATAGATGCGGTGTGGCGTTGAGGAAGGCCGTTGATGCCATGGCTTGGAACAACGGGAGAAGGCAGCGGCGACAGCAGATGCAGTGGGGGGAGGAGGCGGCCGGCGCGGTGGATGGGTTGGAGTAGCACACAGTTAAGGTTGCACTCCAATTATAATAAGAAGATCAACATCCAATTTTGTAAGAATGTTGTACCTAAAATGTTAACTCATATATCCTGTCAGAAGAAATTAATTTAGAACAGCACATTCAACACGTGTGTGTCTTTGTTGTTTAGCTGTAACTTCACACTTGGAAACAATAACTGAGTCCATTGTTCCCTCAATTTTAACACTTTGATTAGTCACTTTTTGGTCAGTGAACAGTGATGCCGTTAGAGGTGGCATATAGTTAACGTTGAAGTTGAAGCACTTAGGATAGAAATCTTGAAAGAAGGAATGACACTGCAGTAAATAGCACATGTGAAAAGGCTAGATTAAGATGAGGGGAAGAGATCAAAATACATATCCAGTACAAAGCCCAGACCTAAATTGAACAATGTCAAGTGGCTTAATAGTAACATTTGACAAACAATTGCCGCAAATTGCATAATTTAAATGTAAATGAAAGCTTTAAAAAATACGCAGTTGAGATGCAATGCTGACAAAATGCAGTATCACCTTAGACTTATCAGTTCTTCACGAGTAGGCATCACTCCCCTGTGATTTAGCTGAAAAAAAAAATGATTGGTCGGTTCAAATAACCAGAGACATGAGTTATACTCGAGCAGCACTTTTGGCCGAACAAATTAAGATGCTCTAGCAGCTGAATTTTTATAAAAATAAAGAAGCATCAGGTTCCACCCTTGAGCTCCTAGTCTCCCACATTCTGTATAGCACATAGCATGCAACATGAATAATCAGTTAAATTTGAGGCAGCGGTACCTTATACATGCATGCAACGAAATTGGACTGGTTCATAGATTTCTTTGGCAGCATTAAGTCGAACACATTAGTAACACCACAACACCTCAACACTGCAGCAGGATCTAGCCGATCAGGATGGCAAGGTACACTATTAACACTATTCTCGTAAATACAAGAAAGGAAATGTTCTGCTCTGCTGTTTTAAATACATGGGCAATTCTAGGCAGCATCAATCAAATTCGCACATCGCCGCAGGTGGTGCGGGTCCAGGGAATGGGGAATAGGTGAGGAGCGAGGCGAACCTGAGGATCAAGAACGGACCACGAGGTCGACCATCGCTGCCAGAAGATGCCGACGACGAATCGACGACTCAAGTGGGGTTTTCTGGTGTCGCTACGGGCCAGCGGTCATGGAGGAACGGCGGCGCCCGGCACTTAAGACGACGATGTGGGGACGGGAAACGGATTTGATGGGTCATCGTGTGACCACCTCACGATGACGAAGCAGAATGGGAATGGACGAGATGACGGAGAGGCGTCACCCTTGACACGATGCCCTTGATATGACGCGGGGAGGCGGCGATCTGCTGGCGGAAGAACAACGGTGGTCGGTGCCTGAGATGACGACGTGGTGGGGACGGGAATCGGCGCGATGGAGGGAGGAGGGGATCTCATTCGACGGCGGTGGTGCTTGAGGGTGGTGGAAGCGGCGGCAGGTCAGGGAGGCACGGCGAGGAGGAGGAGGACGACGACGACGACGAGGGGCTAGGGTTTCCGCTCCTGTATCCTCTGTTTCCATGGATGGAGGCGGTGGCGTTTTGGGGAGAGCGAGGGGGGCGGGAGGCGAGGAGACAGGCGGAGGTAGGTGCCGCAGGCGGTGCAGGGCGGCGCCGATGGTGGGGCACGACGGCAGGCGGTGCAGGGCGGCGCCGATGGTGTGGTGCCGCGTGGATTGAGGAGGCGGACCGGCGGAGGGGATTCGCGACGAGGAGGATGAGTCGTGGCGAGGGGGGGCGGCGCGAGCTTTTTTTTTTTTTCCCGCTGATTGTGGATCGCGATCCGTAGGAATCGCGCGTGGGTGTTGCGGAGGAGGAGCATGTCGCTCGGAAGCGTGTCTACGTATCTTTCTACGTTGGATGGCACCACTACAGATTTTTTTAAGTAGTAGAGATAGACACATTGATATGTGTTTAGTGTCACTGTCATAATCGCATTCACATATCCGTCATGTTCTCAACCAATGACATAGACGGTATAATGTAATTATTTAAATTATATTAACAAGAAAAAATTAAAGTGCAATACTTCGCCCATCCATCATGGATAATTACATCATATTATCTGAAATGAGAATTTAAAGTAAGGTTCAATTAAGAATCGTTCAACAATCTCATTTATATGAGTTTAGAGAAACAAGTACAACAGCAACTAAATGATGAGGCGATTTCTCAAGATATGTCCCATTGCTAACTTTTTCAGAATAGGTGAAATTTTTGTATAATCTGAAAAGGTGATTCAGATCCATGTGAGCCATATCATGCACCTTCCAACATCTCTCTCTACTTAAATAGAGATGTTTAGAACAAGATTCACTCAAACTTTTAAATTATAATAAGTTTTATTTGGTCATCACTACAAGTTTATACTCACTGTTTCATATTACTTTATTGTTCTAGCATTCAATTTTTGTACGAAATACATGTCGTACTTCTCACATTCAAAAGCACTTAACAGGTAGGGAGCATATCCTATACACATAAGTTTTCCGTGCACACTCCATGCACACCAACTATCAAATGTCACAAAACATTTAAAAAAAATTAGCCGCATACTTCCAATAGTACTACACATATATATAAAATCTTATCTTGAAATTCATTATATTTTAGCCGTATCAAAACAGTCAAAATTCTGACAGTTTTTTACCTCAAAACTATCAGAATTTTGTCTTTTTGTTATGTCTAGAATATCTAATGAATATGAATATGAGATTTTATAGATATGTGAAATACTATTAGGAGTAAATGTACAATTTTTTTGTAGAACTTTTTCGTGACATTTACTAGTTGGTGTACATAGAGTGTGCACAGAAAGCTTGTGTGCATAGGATATGTTCCCTCTACGATTTTTTAGTGCAGTCATACATCAAACCAGTTGCAACCCTCGTCAGCTCATCTCAACCAATCAGAGTTAATTCTTGCTTTCGAGAACAATTGGATGTACTTAATGAGGTAACAACGTTTTGTGTGAGATTTACTACAATCGCAATTAATTTGAAACAGAGAGAGTAGTGATAAAGTGAGCCTATGTATTAAGTTTAGAAGATTGTCCTAAGGTGATGAGTTTACTTTAACACTTGTAAAGATCATTGGCTTTTATATAACTAGAGGATACCCCGCGCGTTGCTGTGAGACTTGGTTAACATCAATTTGTTACATAGGAGGTACAATCTTAAGAATAAACAGAAAAAACAAATAGCTTTTTTGGAGAAATTTTTTTTAGCAGCCCTATCCAAAATTTGTAGATAATTTAGATAACACATATCAATTGAAAATGCGTTTAGCCATAAAGCTCTTTATATGGACTGATGGGCTGAATACAAGTAGATGCGTGTGGAGATAGGCTAATGTGTTCATGTGGGCCACATTTGGCACTGAGGAGGCGAAGAGACTCACCCGGTAACTAACGGGTTGAGCTCTATGTTGCATTCCATCCAACGTCTGAGAAGCGATCTAATGCATTCATCCAACAGCTCACAATTTAATGATGACGTGGAGCACGAGGTTTGATCTTTTGGCCTTAACTTTATAGAAAAAAGGGATCTAATCAACTTTTTTAAGAAAATATAATCTAACAAATTTGCGGTATTATATATGATAGTTTTTTTCTTTGCATATCATTTCTCTTGAAAAACTACGCATTTGTCCAATTATTGAAGGCTAAAGTTTTGAAAGTATGACCAAATATAGTTCTAAGTATCAATACCTATGACAGGAGATATATTAGGTCTACCGGTTCATGTATACAGTAATGATCTATTGTTATAAATCTTGATTAGTCTACAGTGCCGTAGCTAGACAGCAGGAACCACAAATAGCACATATATAAAAGTTTGCCTATAAATTACATCTTTGATTTACTATTTTACTTCGTTCGTTTTTTACACTGCTTATTAGCTGTAGCTCAAATGATCAGAGCCGTTAATTTCAATCTAACAATTGTAAGATGCATAAATTTCCCGCTGGAAAAAAAGGGGAATTTTTAATTCTGAAATTACAAAATGTGATTAAGTATAGCTACCCCTTCCATCCTAATAACAACCAAAATTTGACAGAAATGTTAATAGACATTTTTTAGTTTACCTTCTGAGTAAATTTCACGAGATTACAGATATTAGATTTTACCTTTTTAGTTTACACTCAGTTACATTACATAAAAATTAGATTTTACAACAGCTTTTTTTCTTTAGATTTATGATTTTTTATATGTTTAACCTTTTTTTTATTTCATTCAAAACGGGTTGTATATATTGGTTGAAAATTCTGTAAAATTTGAAGCTCCAAATCTGTAGAAAGATCAATAGGTAGTACCGTATTTTTATTGGCATATATAGAGGCAAATAAAATATAAATTAAGTTTAGTTTAGTGTAAAACTCCTAACAATTAGATTTTCTTAATATATAAGCAGGAAGATGGGCATTGTATCTGAGATTTAAAAAGATGAGCACTGTATCTAAGATTTAAAAGGGAAGATTGAATTGTAGCATCTAGCATGCTTACCACATAGGAGTTGAGCGTCCGGCATGATTCGGCCCACATGATTGGGCTCGTGTCAGAGCATTTTGGTCGGCCCAGGTAGATAGTGCGTTATCACGCGAGAGATTGAGAAGCGCGCAACTATGCGAGGCCAAGCATCAGAAAGTCCTATGAATAGGTTCGAATAGATTTGTTGTAGTCTTGCTTTGAATGAAATAAAGAAGCGAATTGCATAGATTATCTTTTATGGATATTGACTTAACTACCTGTATCTATTATGGTGTCATATTTTTTTAAAAAGGTCAAATCTTATAGCAACTATAGGTCTATATGTTACATATTAAATTACATACACACTTACAATACAATTTCAAATCATATGAGAAGTATGGAAAAGGATTGATTATCTATTTAATTATGAGAAAAAAAATAGTCCAAATAAACATATAAGTAAAAAGAAAATCAATAAGAAAGAATTTGGGAAGAAGGTTACGTACAAGAGAGATAGTTATCATATAGAGTATCACATAGTGAGAAAAAAATGACCACAATTGAACATAAAAATATAAAAATATGATACTTTAATATTAAAGAAAATTGATGTGGTGGTGGTGGTTATTATTATTATTATTATTATTATTATTATTATTATTATTATTATTATTATTATTATTATTATTATTATTATTATTATTATTATTATTATTTATTTATTCGGGTCTATCGGACCATAGTTAATCAGCATGTGTTACCATAAGTCCATATCCTAACACGTGAACACCTCGTGAGAATAGCTAAATAGATCGATACAACCATGCCCATCCAGAGACAATAAAACTATGGTGGTGTTAAATTCATATCGGATGTTTGGATAATTAAGTATTAACATAGGCTAATAATAAAACTAATTGCATAAATAAGAAAAAAAAAATTTAAGCCTAATTAATCTATAATTAGCACATATTTATTTTAGCATCACATAGGCTAATAATGGATTAATTAGGCTCAATAGATTCGTCTTGCGAATTAGTCCAGGGTTATGGAATGTGTTTTGTCATTAGTTTATGTTTAATACTTATAATACTGTCCAAATATCCGATGTGATAGGGACTAAAATTTAGTCCCCGGATCCAAACACCACCTATGATAGACTTAGCATAGTACAGGCCTAATGGGTCATGGCTAATAGACAACTCATTTTTAATTGTGCTAGAGAAAAAAAAAAAGGTAAACTACAGTTTGGGCTACGCATTCTTATATATTTTTTATATTGTACCATTCTTCTATTAATTTTCACATAATAATAGCCATTTTACCTTTCATTTGAACTTAGACGGTCCTTTTTCTAATCCATCTCCAAGCCCGACGACACTACTACTGCTCCACCTCCAAATCCAATGATTGCTACTGTTTCCACGCTAGTTCTCTCCCTTTTTCTTTCTTCCCCTCAAGACATAGCTGGGGAGTTGCTGGATCCAATAAGGAGGAGCCCGGATTAACTTCTCTGCTCTCCAACTGTCGGTTCCTACCTCCCTGAGTCCCTGCTAGTCCAGCGTCACCATCCTCAACGGCAACCATAGCAACAACGTGCATGATGAAGGGGAAGAGATTATACACGTTGGTGGCTAGAGGATGTGGTTACACATGCAGAGACGGACGGGATATACAATGGTGGCTCATGGAGAGGGAGCTATGATGGCAGTGCGAGGAGGAGAGGAGCAACAACTAGTGGGTGCTGGAGGAGTTCGTTGTCATCACATATCCGCAACCGAGTACTACTGACATGTGGGTCATTAGTCATCACAAAGAATGAGTAATATAGCTGGCTTTATATGAAAACTTTTTGAGACATAGTGGTTTAAAGTGATACTGGACCGATTTATCTCTACTATTATAAAAATTGAAGATATTTTTGCCGGTATTTTGGTATGTCATCCGAGCATGAGTCGGCTTTTAAGTTTGTTCATTTTTGAAAATACATATGCGTATTTGAGTCGGTTTTGCTAACTTGAGACGATCGGACTCTTCATTATAACTCTTGATTTTTTTTTAAAATATATATCATCCAAACGAGTTCTCACAATAGATTTCACCTTAACTAAAACGTATAACAATAATAAATTAAAATAGCCTTTACCGGTGCAACGCACGAGTAGTTTTTCTATTGTATATAAAAAAAAGAAAGATGAAATCTTACACCCTGTCTAGCACAACTCTTGATACAACATTTTGTTAGAGCTGAGGTATTTTTCTAATTCCACCCATGTACGGATTTGGATCTAATTATGTTAATAATAATTGGATAAATTATTTTGTTCCTGTTTTCTGAAATTCAAAATTTAAAATTAATACGTTGTATCACACAAATTTAAATCAGTCGTGGCTATGCCACCTTGTCCAAAAATCATTGCGAGTCGATAGCATCTCCCCCGTCCCTCCGCGTCAAAGGAAAATCTCCCGTCTTCGTCTCCGCTCCCTGCGCCCGCGCCGATCTCCATCTCGCGAGCACAGCAGCCGCGCCGTCGTCCTCGTGTGAGCGTCCGCATCCTCTTTCTCATTCATCTCATCTCATCTCGCTCTCCAGTTTTCGTGCGTGCGTGCGTTAACCCTAGCTTATCTTCTAGATCTGGAACAAGCTTTTCTCTTGATTTCATAGCCTTAAACTTATAATACTACAAGTAACAGTTTGTGTTTCTTTCCCCCCCAAAAGTTTGGGGGGTTCAAGTCAACTGAACTGAACCCCAGTATCCCAAGTTGGATCCGCCCCGTCACTGCTTTGCATTGTCCCGCAAATGTCGCTCTGTTGGGCGGATGAGTCGCACGCTGTCGAGTGTCCACCTTTTGATTTGGTGTCGTTCATCTATTGGTGGTGAATTCGCTGCGATGTTGTTAAATCTCTTGGCTTTTGACCAAGTGGATGGGGCGGATGTTGATAGTTAGTGTTTTTTTTTACTTGATTTCATCTTGACTATCTGTTATCCGATTTGGACACTGAAAGAAAAAAAAGAAGTAAAATGGGTTTATGTAGCTGTTTATGAAATGGACAACATATATATTTTTAGTGGATCGATTTGATAAGGGTATGATGTCATTTATACCCTTGTAGTGCATCACTTTTACGTTTTGATCTAGCAATTACCTTTTTTTTCCCTGATATATTGGATGCTTTCCTATAGTGGAGGTAAAATTACATTTGACAAATAATCCTGCTCAGGCTGATTCGTTGTGTTCCTGTTGATGCAGTAACTGTCTGAAATGGACTTCTTTACCGAGTATGGTGAGGGGAACAGGTATAAGATAGAAGAGGTCATAGGAAAAGGGAGTTACGGTGTAGTATGCTCCGCGCTGGATACTCATACTGGTGAGAAAGTTGCTATCAAGAAGATTAATGACATTTTTGAACATGTGTCTGATGCTACTCGGATACTTCGTGAAATCAAGTTGCTCCGGCTACTGCGACACCCAGATATCGTGGAAATAAAACATATTTTGCTTCCTCCGTCGAGGAGAGAATTCAAGGACATTTATGTTGTTTTTGAACTCATGGAGTCTGATTTGCACCAAGTTATAAAGGCCAACGACGACTTGACTCCAGAACACTACCAGTTTTTCCTCTATCAGTTGCTTCGAGGATTGAAGTACATACATACAGGTAATTGGTATGTTCTCACATGAAAATTTGTTCCTTTTCATTGTCAAAAACATGGTTCAGGGGGTGGTCTTCTTGCAAGTGAAGGCATAAGACATCTGTGATCATTTTTTTTTGTTGGTAAAAACTTTTCTACTTAATTCAGTAATGTTCTAATATTTCAAGATGGAATGTTTATCACCTGTGTTAACGAGATAAGGAAGTGGGGAGGCTGACTGACTGAGGGTAAAGGGTGGTAGTAGTTGTGTAGAGCTGGAGGCAGGCCCTGGAAGGTAGAATAAAAAGGGAAGGATGTGGGAAGTAATAAATAGGTCCCCTCCCTCCGTAGGCTTACGGCAACAAGACCAATCCGCTCGATCCACTAATAAAATAAGTTGGAGACTACTAATCTGCCAAATCTGCTGTAGCTTTCCCAACGCCTGGGGGCTCGGCCGCGAGAGAAGAGGCAAACCACGCGATCAGCACCACGACAGAGTAGTAAAGATTTCATCGAAAACTTACAGCAGCTTGCGAAACAAAGGCTAATAGAAAAAAGAGTACAGGTATGACAGGCATAAAATCCACGATTGGGTTGAAAATGGCATAAGCTTCGGGCAATTTGGCAAAGAAAAAATTAGTCGGATAAATAACAGAATTAAAACATCGTTGTGAGAATTCTTAATTCATGAGTTGTAGGGGGCACATATTTATGATGAAGTAAGGCCCATCTGGCCAATTGTTGCCTGTTGCTGTAGAGGAACCCAAAGCAGCGCCAAACCTCACTAATTGACGCACACATTATTACAAAATCTAGGGAAATACACCAAATTAGTTACATCAAACTGAAAAAACAAATCCTTGAATTGCATCAGCATTAATACCATTATCTAATTCATCATGCTTAAGTGCTTGAAATAGTTTGCTTAGAGCCAGTTTCTACAATAACCTGACTCGTACCAAAGCAGATAGCCAGATTGAGAGCTTCAATACATGTAATTGCTTCTGCTTGTAGCACATCTTGTAAATTCATTGAACTCCCAGCTTCCATTGTTTGTTTCAGCATAAAAAGAGCCATCAAGGTTTATTCGCAGCATCATGCTCAATGGAGGTACCCATTTACCTGGAGGCTTCTCTATTGAAGAATTTATAGTAGGATAGACATGTTCTTTGAACTCATAGATCTACCAAGTTACTTGATGAACCACTTCATCACTGGTTGGAAAGCTATCACCAGAGTTAACCTTATTGCGAGTTGATCACCAGTACCAAAGTAAAATTATCACTTTTAATCTAAGGTCTTCCTGTAACAAGAATAGTTACTAACATGTACTCTCTCCATTGAGTCATAGAGCACATGCATACGTCAAGATTCAAACATTGTGATGTTTGATGACATGAATGATATTCAGTTTTGTAATTTAAATGTACATTGGTTCATATTCCTCATAGTTTAATTTTTTAGTTCACACCAGGTCAAACTGCATGATATAAAAATCTAGAGGATGTAGCATGCAGAGTCTGTGAGCTACTGATACAAAGTTATTAATGTAGCTGCTTCAACAAATCAATCATAGGTGCCGTCAAGCTGTGGAGTGTGCACTTAAGCAATAAGCAATTTAAAATTACCAATGGTAGTTGCCACATTACTGTCAAGAACAATGAGACAGATTCTATTGTTTCATATTAGTTGAACAAGTCGATTCAAACAAACATGTATCATTTTTTTTCTTTTGCACATGGAAAGCTGAAAGTAGAAATGTGGCAGGAGTTGGTTTAACTTTCTCTACTTATGTGAAATAAATTATTCAATTTATTTTTGTTACAGTAGCCTGATATGACTGCTCCATCTCATTATTCAATATATTTTGTTATACTAGAATTTTACTGATATGACAGCTGTCTTTCATTATTTGTTTACTGCAGCAAATGTGTTTCACCGAGATCTTAAACCAAAAAATATTTTGGCAAATGCTGATTGTAAGCTCAAAATATGTGATTTTGGCCTTGCAAGAGTTGCTTTCAGTGATACACCAACTGCCATCTTTTGGACGGTATATCACTTTTCCCCCAACAATTTCTTTATGTCCTCAAAGTTTCTTATAAGCATCTATTTCTTGTATTTTTAGGATTATGTTGCAACAAGGTGGTATCGTGCACCTGAACTTTGTGGATCTTTTTTCTCTAAGGTTAGTCACCTTCTTAATATGTTGTAATTTTTTTATTTAAATCATGGTATTTCCAAGAATACCCTTGTTTCCATTTCATTATTGTTGTTATATTTTTCTCTTTTACTGAAGTTAAATTCACACTAAAACACATGGATGATGGATGAAACTATAAAAATAAAATCCCAACTGGGCCATGGCATTCAATTAAGTTGAGAAAAATCCTCCCAAACGTGGTGCACGACTGGTGCACTCAAACCTCCCACGGGGAGCATACTTCTTCCAGTTCCTGTGAGGGGGATTATTTTTGTGTGAAGCCCGGTTCGAACCTGGGTCAGCGGCTCTTCTACTGAAGGCTCTGCCACTCCGCTACAAGCACGTTAATTTCCTTCTTTATATATTTCTATTAAATGATGTATTTCTTTCTCTTAATCTAAGTGCAGTAGTATTTCTAATAAAGACCAAACACATAGATGTGCCAATCTGCTATTCTGCTATCGGTTTTGTTCTAATTATTGTGTTGCCACTAGCTGCTTGCAAAAGTCACCAAAACGCCACTGCCATTAAATCGAATTGACATGATTAGGTCAATTTCTATTGACCATTTATGCACATGTGCCCTTCGAAAATCATAAGAGAAAAAGGAGAATCTAAGTGTGGCCTACTGCTCTGCCAATGGATTGCAGCTTCCATGTCCATTTTGTTGGCTATGGTGTGGCAAGGGCAGAAGCTGAGGTCAAGCAGCCTGTCAGTGATTTTTTTTAATGAAATTGTTCATCTGATTTGGGTTTTCTATTCTTGACAAACGATAGTATGTATTGGTACCATATTGTGAATTGAGCATTTGAATGAAATCCTGCAAATCAATCCAGTAAATAGGGGTGCTGATGCATTGATGGGCACCACTATCACGTTGCATGGGAAATATATAAGAGAGATGGAGAGCATGAGAGAGATAAGAGAGGAGATGATGATTCAGGATACCTCAGTCCTGTCAGTGGCTATGTCAGTAGGTTTATATTAAAATTTAGGATCTAGATAAGACACATGACAAGTTTAGGAGTCCGTACGGGGAGCTAGCTGACCCATCACAACAAGTTGAAGGACAGCTAGTACATTTTACTTCTTTTAATACAATATCACCTTTTTCATTACTGACGATGTCCTGTACTCCTGTTTGTTGCTCTTGCAATGAAATGCTGTCTAGTTCCAGTTGCTGGCTATATTTTTCTTTGTACATATAATGCCTGGAGTATCGGTGAACCTTATACTGTTCAAATTCTTGCAGTACACACCAGCAATAGATATATGGAGCATCGGTTGCATATTTGCAGAACTTTTAACAGGAAAACCTCTTTTCCCCGGGAAAAATGTGGTGCATCAACTTGATATAATTACAGATCTTTTGGGGACACCTTCTACAGAAGCAATATCTAGGGTAAGTATGTGTCGCCATACATAAGTGTTTTATGCCGACTAATTTTCTAATGGTTGGAGTTACATGTACTCTTTATGCACTAGATTCGAAATGAGAAGGCCAGGCGATATTTGAGCAGTATGAGACGCAAAAAGCCTATACCATTTACTCAGAAGTTCCCAAATGCAGATCCACTTGCATTACGTTTGTTGGAGAGAATGCTATCTTTTGAGCCCAAAGATAGGCCAAATGCTGAAGAGGTACAACATCATCCCTTTTTATTTTATTTTTAATCATGGTAATCTAAAACAACAAAAGATAATGTATTGTACATATTTTCAGGCTCTTGCCGATCCTTATTTCAGAAACATAGCAAATGTAGATAGAGAACCTTCAGCACAGCCTGTGACAAAGCTGGAATTTGAGTTTGAAAGGAGGAGGATTACAAAGGAAGATATAAGGGAACTCATCTATAGAGATATTCTGGAGTATCATCCAAATATGTTGAGGGAATACCTTGAAGGGACTGAGTCAGCTGGTTTCATGTACCCTAGGTGCGATGATTTTTAACTACAACATGCTTCACCAAAGTGAAGTGCCTCATGCAATTTCAGAGTATAATTTAATGGTTGATTGTTTGCAGACAGACCAGGTCATATTGGACATGCTACTAGCCTTTTGTTTTCTTATCGTTAATGTCTGCATGTGCATAAACAAGGCATGCTCTTTACACATTTTGTTCTGTCAAGGTGTCGTGTCATTTCTTTACACTCGGTTAGGTGTTTTTGCATGGTGTGTATTGTCTATGTAAGGTCGATTTCTTATTTATAGCAAAATCAGTTTTGATGGTTATTTTTGTTGTCAAAACTCCGTCTATCTTTCACTGTGCTTCCCTCAGTTGGAATTTTGAGTAACAAAATAGAAAGAAAAAACCCTTATAAACTAATTGGTACACCTGAATAACCTGATTCTGGTGGGCTTACACTGAACTATTGCATTGTCTTTGCAGTGCGGTAGATCATTTTAAAAAGCAGTTTGCATATCTTGAAGAACATTATGCTAAGGGATCAACAGCAGCTCCACCTGAGAGGCAACATAACTCTTTACCAAGGTAATGTTTCTATAGTTTCGTCTATATGTCTAAATTATCTTGTAAAAAAATACGGCTTAAATTAGCAGGTAGCACTTGATCATTTGTTGACTTTCTACGATTCCGTAACAGACCTTCTGTGTTATATTCGGATGACCGTCCACAAAACACAGCCAACATCGCCGAGGATCTTTCAAAATGTGTACTTGGAGATAATACACAAAAAATGCATCAAGGTTCTGCTTCTGTTTGTGCGAATAGAGTTCCTCAAGGTAACACATGAAGCTGCTATGAAGTTGATGTAACATCATATATAGTAGCTGATTTATTATTACTGCACCTCAATAGCTCCATCCAAATTTCAATAAAAAAAAATAGCTCCATCCAAATTTTCACCGTATTTTGTGACAAGCAGATGACATCTGATCCAACAGATGTATGTTGTGTACTAAATTCTTTTGGTGACAAATGTTTAGAAAGAGCCCAAAGTGATAAATACTTAATGGTTCTGCTCTGTTGTCATACAGAGGCTGAGCAATCTGTCATATTGTGGTTGCTCCACCAGTCCACTAGGCCATGCAAGTACAGAAGCAAACGATTACCGTGCCAAGGGCCACCATTCAGTCGTGCACAGCTGTGTCAGTCTCACAATTTGAGAATCAGCAAACGCAATAGTACATATGGATCCTTCCTTTGGATCAGCTCTGAGTCACATAGTAATATTAAACTTTGTGGTGCAAAGTTCTTTTAAATTTGACTGACCAATCTGGCCATTAAACTCTCGGTCCTTTTTTATATCTGTTAATTAACGGCTTCAGTTTGTCCTTGTTTTGCACAAAGGCACAACTGGTGTCCATAAGTTAATCTAAGTTAATGATGTTGGCAAATATTGATTCACGAGTAGTAAATCAGCTACAAGAAAACTAATATCCTGAACCATTCCTCTTAAAATGGAATCTTTCTAATACTGTTGTTTTTCTTTTTGACTTAAAACAGCAGGAGAGCCTCCTCCTGCACTATATTAATATATAGATAATATTTACACAATATTAATACTGTTCATTCATTTTATAAATATTTTAGCAGGAAGATTGTGAGTAACTCTATGCAAATCACTTTGTATGGCAGGTGGTGCTGCAAGACCTGGTAAAGTTGTTGGTTCTGCGCTTCGATATGGTAACTGCTCAACATCTACTGCTGAGCAATATGAGCATCGACGAACCGATAGAAACCCAGCATTGGCTACTAACACTGTTTCTCCCCGAGGCTCTTACCCCTGAAGAAATCCATCCTGCAAGACTGAAACAGGTGATTCTGAAAGGATCGATGTGAACCAAGCTGGGCAACCAAAGCCATACATACCAAACAAACTACCTGCTACTGTTGATGGCCGGAGCGCCCACTGGTAGGCAACAAGGTATGTGTGCGCAAATGAAACAGCAAATCCTTTGCCTTACCAAGGTTCCGAGGCATCGGCGCGGATTACCATTTCTAAGTTGTTACATGCTGACACATTCAAAGATACTATTCTGTACAGAGTTGTATTAATTACAGATCTTGGTATGCTCTAGAAGACTGAAGACTAAAGTACTATAGAAATATATTTCATATCCTGCGTGATAGGCTGCTAGTTTCCGTTCTTTTTGGATCGGTTGCAAAAATACCCACAGCAGAAGCTTACACGGTATCTACTACAGTTCATGGTATACGCATAGATTACAACTTCTGACTTGACTCTGTAGTTCATCACTTTGTTCTTAAAGCTGGTGACTTCACATCGTCTGATTGTTGATTAAACGTGGAAGTTTTGAAGCCCTGGAGTATCTTGGAATGCTTCTAGTAAGCTGTCATTCAAATGTAATATTTAACTATATCATTTTGTAGACTTTTCAACACTATTAGCTGGGAAGATTATGTTAATTTGAGATGCTTTTCTCTCCCCCTCCTTTTGATGTGATATGGAGTTGTCTCATGCTCAGCTTTTCTTGAAAGCATATGAAGATCAAATGTGCAAGTTCATCTTTACCTGCATACCCTTTTCCTGATGCCTGCCATCCTTATGATCTAATGGTTTGCTTACCAGTGCCAACACATGCAAAATTCATCCTTATTTTCAATCTGTCTACAGTGAAATAATTGAAGGAATGGATAAATGGAACTCTTGGAGGCGACGTAGTACGGGTTCTATTTGTCTCCACATAATGTGACATTACCAATAGAGGATGGGAGGAGTATCCTTTCCAGTTTCTACGTGTGCTATTTTCATTGACTGCTTATTCACGCTCGATTCTGGGGAAGCTCCCGATGAACATCTGTGGAAAGGCGGTCACATGCTCGCAACCGTTCGCCTTGAGAACAGAGAGCACGAACCCTGCCACCACCCGAGAGCACCCTTCTCCGTAGATGCCTGCTGCATCGGCAATGGCGCCACCGGCAGTGGAGCTTCACTCAGTGAACTCACGAGCAGGAGCCCCTTTGGCCGGTAGCTCGCCGGGCAAAGCACCCAGCCAGTCCAACGCAAGGCGCAGGACATGGATAGCCTGCACGGGCGGCCGATGCAGCTTCATCGCATAAACGAGTAGCCTCGGTACCGGACCGCCTTCAGCTGAGCAATAAGCGCCTCCATTTGCGCTTCGGAACTCGTGGAGTAAGCTGTGAGGCCATTGACTCTTCTCGAGCTCACCCCGCTCCGCCCGAAGCCTCTTCACTTGGGCCCTTGGACTTCATCAAGGCTTTGGCCGTTACGGCATGATCAAGCATCGCGTGCTTCCTGCCAGCCTCTATGTCCTAGAGGCGGTTCTTGTAATCGTCTAGGCGGCCCGAGCAAGTTGCTTACCGTTACTTTGGGCCGAAATCTGAGCGAACGAAACACGGCTTCTGGAGCGCGCACTCCGAAGCTGAGGTTTTGGCCGTTGGCTGCTTGCCCTTGCGATGCACCAAGGGCGAAAGGGGCGGAATAGCCGGCGCATCACCAAACATAGTAGTGATGTCAGTGTCTAGGGAAGCCGCCGTGGACAAAGGATGAGACTCCGACGAGGGTGAAGCCACGCGTTCGGCAGGCTAGGCACGTCTGGGGAAACAGGGGAGGCAGGCGAAGAAGATTCGCTGTCGCTAAACCCCCGTGCTAGCATGACACCTTCGACCAGCTTGATACGTCGGGTCAGCTCCACTATGGCACCCCAAGACTTTGGGTGGCTGGGTAGGCTCTGCCGTCTTTGGTTTCAGCCCACCGACGACGCGTTGCGCGATCGCCACCAAAGCTTCGGCTCCAGCCAGCTACGTCTCGAGGGGAATCGTATGTCCCAACACCGTCTTTTAGCAAGGGCATAGTCTCAGGGCCTGGCGTGTACCTAGGGATTCACTTGTGGCGAAGCAAGCAGTGGCATTAGTGTCCATGGCGTCCTCACCTAGGTAGTCGTCACCCTGATCGTCTGCTTCTGCTTCTGACTCCACCTCAACGTCCTCGGCGTCATCGGCATCGGAAGGATCTTCAGAAGGGGCAAGTGTGGCGGCCTTCGCTGGACGAGCCACCTTCGCTCTACCCGACGCCGAGGCCATGGCCACCGCTAGCTTCCTTTTTCGGGTAGACCAAGGCTCCACGTCATCGCCAAGCACGACCTCCTTGGTGGGATTCTCGCGCAAAGGGAGCTTCCCGACGAAGAGGCCGTTCGTCCGTCCCTCGGTTTGTCGAACAACCATGATCCCGTACTCCTTGGGGATCATATCCCCAATCAACTTCTTTGCCTCCCCCTCAACTTCGCCTAGCAAAAGCAAATGAAAAGGAGAAGAAGGAAGGGATGCCAACTAACCCAAAATCACCGAAGAAAACACCATTTACACAAAGAAAGGCCGAAGGCCTTGTCAGCGGGATCGAGAGAAACGCCCCAGTCGCATGCCAAGGGATTCACCCTCAGCATGCAAAACTCCACCAAATCCCGGTAGCTGAATCGACAAGCTATCTTTTGAAGAAGGGTCCAACGCGACAATGTGGGGCTTCATCTCCGTGTCAACAGCCTGGCGTCGAGTCCGAAAGGCGGTGAAGTTGTCATAGCCAGTGGGGTACGGGACTTTGTGGTGAACCATTTCTCCATCCATTGGCGGCCCCACTTCGGCATGAAGGCCGAAATCGGCCATAGGTCAGCGCACTCTAGCCGAAAGTTAGTTGACGCTGCCGTAGATAGTCTTCTTTGGCCCCGCAGGCGTCGCCACCATCTTCGTGAATGTTCGAGACATGTCACGAGGGCCTTCGACCGAAGATGCCGAAACCATCACACTTGCGAAACGCTGCTTGATGATCAAGGAGTTCGCTTGGGGCGAAACAGTGGGGGCGTAGTCATGAGGATTCACCACCTTGTCCACGGGACTTGTCGCCAAGCTTCTGTCAGGGGCGAAGCCGTCGGGCTAATCTGGAGGGGTTCGCCCATGAGCCAGACGCCTTTGCCAACAGGCCCAAGAAGGCCATTCACTGTACATGGGTTGACCCAAAGGCCCACTCAGAAGGCCCAAGAGGCGTATAGACTTCGGCCTAAGGAATACAGGGGCAACTTTCGCCAGGTTGATCTGCAAGGTCTTTTGCTTGTAGCTGGGGTAGAATGTCGAAGCTTACGTTGACGACATTGTCGTTAAAAGCAGGAAAGCTTCCGACCATGTGTCCAATTTACAAGAAACCATTGCGTTTGGCCAGAATCGAGCTGAATTCGGAGAAGTGTGTTTTTGGTGTTCGGACTAGTAAGTTGTTGGGATTTCTTATGTCCGAAAGAGGCATAGATGCCAACCCAGAAAAGATTGATGCTATACTGCAAATGCAGCCACCAAAGAGCGTACGAGAAGTACTAAAGTTCACGGGGCGAATTGAGGCTCTCAGCTGATTCTTATCAAGAGCAACCAAATGATGTTTGCCATTTTTCAGAATTCTCTGAGGGCTGGTGTCATGTCCTGATAAATTCATCTTGAGTTAAAAATCATTCTTTAAAAGGAATGATAGAATTAATTAAAATTCAAAAGAAATAGGAAAACATTAAAATATGTACGATAAAAAATCAAAAGTGGCCCAAAGTATTTTTCTTAAATTCTCCTTGGTATAAAAGGAGCCCTAAAATTTTACTTGAATTTTCAGAGCACCGAAAATATTTATTAAGCAACAAAAATAATTATCAGAGCTTATTAAAAATAAAAACCTAAAAACAATCCTCCTTTTCCCCAAAGTTCCCCTCCTCTCCCTCGGCCCGTGGCCGAAGTCCTCCCTCATTCCCTTCTCTCTCGGGCCTCCCCATGCCCCGGCCCACTTCCCTCCCTCTCTTTTTCCTCCCCTCTCTCTCCCAGGACGCCCCTCCCTCCGCTCCTCCTCCCGGTCTGCCCCGGTCCAGGTCGCCCCGCCCCTCCCACCTGGGCCGCCTCCCGGGTTCGCGGTCGTCACCTAAGGTTCGGAAGGCTTTTCTCTCTGAGCAAGGCAAGTCGCATCATCCTTGAGCAGATTGAATCCCAGTTTATAAAATTACTTTATTTTTAATTATTGCATTACTACTTTATTTAAATTCTCGCGCTATCACTGTTTTATTTAGCTTTCCTATTATTCCTTGTTATAGCCTTATCATTTCTATTGTTATAATCACCTTGCTCACCCTAGGAAAATATAACCCCAACTATTCATGGTTCCACTAGTATGAATTTAGGTAGATGCTTCGCTAATTAATTAGGCAACACTAGGTGGTTTTATAACTTTAGACTGTGGGAATTCTCATATCAGTTTGACATTATGAAATGGTTGGCTTATGTTGGAATTGGACATACACCTCCCCTCTATTCAAAACCCCCAATATGGTTTTAGGCTAGCTTCGAGGTGCATGGTTTTGATAGTAGCACCTCGGCCATCATAAAGACCGGTCTTCGGGCCTCAGTTGCAAAGCACTACCGTACTTCTACATGTCTAATGGGTAAGGCTTAGTTTGTAGCTAAGTCTGGTAATGAACAAAAGGACATGGGTAGAGATGGATGAAGTCAGGACCGATGGATATCTCTGAGGCAAATGAAGGCTACATGGGCGGTTTGTTCCAGTAGTCGAGATGTCGTGGCACAGGACAGGCATCCGGGTGGTTTACTCCCAAGGGATGGTCCTGATGCCGTGGGGCTCAACCATAACCTACCTGTCCCGGGATCTTCCGGCCATAGGCGGGCGTTGCGTCAGTACTTTTGTTCAAAGCTAGGATAGGTGAAGAACTATGCCACGATCTTGGCTTTTTCGGGTACCTTTCTGGTTCGACGATTCATGGCTGACATGATGTCAAGTTTGTGTCTTGTGGGTAAAGATGTATACCTCTGATCAGAGTATAATCTATTTGAATAGCAACACCCTTGGTTATGGGTAAGCCTAGCAATGTACCCAAGTTAGTTGTTTCTCTCTTAAAACTTGGTTAATCAACTAAAACCTGGAATGGTTGGCCTGGGTTGGCTTGGGACGAGCTGAGACCTGGTTTAGGTTGCCAGTTCGGTCTAAATCATCGTAGGCCTTGGGTTAAGGCAGGTTCCTGTGGGTTCACGGCCTTGATTAATAATATTGTGTAGCCTCAGGATCGAATTTATCAAATAGCTTTGAGCAACTAAAGTGGTTTAGAAAGCTGTTTTACCGCAAAACCTAACCCTATATTATTACTCCTTGTACCACATTGCATTAATCATGCATCTCCCGGTGTGACTTGCTGAGTATAGTGGTTGTACTCATTCTTGCTCAATATTTCCCCCTCCTTTAGTAATAGAAGTTTTGGAAAAGAAATCCTAGGTGGAGTCTTGGCTTATACCCCCGTTGAGCGCCTGTGAAGATGGAGCCGTAGGCCTGCTAGTCCACTGCTGTTTATTTTTGTTTGTCAAGCCTGAAGTGCCTTTGTAATAATATAAATATTATCGATATAATAAATATGTGTCTTTCCTGGGACGGAGATCAAT